GTAAAGGATAACTGGTGTCACATGTTTTGATCTTAACTCATTCTTTTTTTGGGAAAAATTGTAAAATTATTAAACTCAAAGAAAAGCAATAGATTTTGCTTAAAATGTTATTCCATAAAGCTTCAACTCTTTAAAACTTCTATAGTCTAGTCTATAGTCTAGTCTATAGTCTAGTGTATAGTCTAGTTTATAGTCTAGTGTATAGTCTAGTCTATAGTCTAGTCTATAGTCTAGTCTATAGTCTAGTCTATAGTCTAGTCTATAGTCTAGTCTATAGTCTAGTCTATAGTCTAGTCTATAGGTCTAGTCTATAGTCTAGTCTATAGTCTAGTCTATAGTCTAGTCTATAGTCTAGTCTATAGTCTAGTCTCTAGTCTAGTCTATAGTCTGTCTATAGTCTAGTCTCTAGTCGAGTCTATAGTTAGTCTATAGTCTAGTCTATGAGTCTAGTCTATAGTCTAGTCTCTAGTCTAGTCTATAGTCTAGTCTATAGTTGTCTATAGTCTAGTCTATAGTCTAGTCTATAGTCTAGTCTATAGTCTAGTCTATAGTCTAGTCTATAGTCTAGTCATAGTCTATATAGTCTAGTCTATAGTCTAGTCTATAGTCTAGTCTATAGTCTAGTCTATAGTCTAGTCTATAGTCTAGGATATCTATAGTCTAGTCTATAGTCTAGTCTATAGTCTAGTCTATAGTCTAGTCTATAGTCTAGTCTATAGTCTAGTCTATAGTCTAGTCTATAGTCTAGTCTATAGTCTAGTCTATAGTCTAGTCTATAGTCTAGTCTATAGTCTAGTCTATAGTCTAGTCTATAGTCTAGTCTATAGTCTAGTCTATAGTCTAGTCTATAGTCTAGTCTATAGTCTAGTCTATAGTCTAGTCTATAGTCTAGTCTATAGTCTAGTCTATAGTCTAGTCTATAGTCTAGTCTATAGTCTAGTCTATAGTCTAGTCTATAGTCTAGTCTATAGTCTAGTCTATAGTCTAGTCTATAGTCTAGTCTATAGTCTAGTCTATAGTCTAGTCTATAGTCTAGTCTATAGTCTAGTCTATAGTCTAGTCTATAGTCTAGTCTATAGTCTAGTCTATAGTCTAGTCTATAGTCTAGTCTATAGTCTAGTCTATAGTCTAGTCTATAGTCTAGTCTATAGTCTAGTCTATAGTCTAGTCTATAGTCTAGTCTATAGTCTAGTCTATAGTCTAGTCTATAGTCTAGTCTATAGTCTAGTCTATAGTCTAGTCTATAGTCTAGTCTATAGTCTAGTCTATAGTCTAGTCTATAGTCTAGTCTATAGTCTAGTCTATAGTATAGTCTATAGTCTAGTCTATAGTCTAGTCTATAGTCTAGTCTATAGTCTAGTCTATAGTCTAGTCTATAGTCTAGTCTATATCTAGTCTATAGTCTAGTCTATAGTCTAGTCTATAGTCTAGTCTATAGTCTAGTCTATAGTCTAGTCTATAGTCTAGTCATAGTCTAGTCTATAGTCTAGTCTATAGTCTAGTCTATAGTCTAGTCTATAGTCTAGTCTATAGTCTAGTCTATAGTCTAGTCTATATCTAGTCTATAGTCTAGTCTATAGTCTATTCTATAGTCTAGTCTATAGTCTAGTCTATAGTCTAGTCTATAGTCTAGTCTATAGTCTAGTCTATAGTCTGGTCTATAGTCTAGTCTATAGTCTAGTCTATAGTCTAGTCTATAGCCTAGTCTATAGTCTAGTCTATAGTCTAGTCTATAGTCTAGTCTATAGTCTAGTCTATAGTCTAGTCTATAGACTAGTCTATAGTCTAGTCTATAGTCTAGTCTATAGTCTAGTCTATAGTCTAGTCTATAGTCTAGTCTATAGTCTAGTCTATAGTCTAGTCTATAGTCTAGTCTATAGTCTAGTCTATAGTCTAGTCTATAGTCTAGTCTATAGTCTAGTCTATAGTCTAGTCTATAGTCTAGTCTATAGTCTAGTCTATAGTCTATAGTCTAGTCTATAGTCTAGTCTATAGTCTATAGTCTAGTCTATAGTCTAGGCTATAGTCTAGTCTATAGTCTAGTCCATAGTCTAGTCTATAGTCTAGTCTATAGTCTAGTCCATAGGCTAGTCTATAGTCTAGTCTATAGTCTAGTCCATAGGCTAGTCTATAGTCTAGTCTATAGTCTAGTCTATAGTCTAGTCTAGTCTAGTCTATAGTCTAGTCTATAGTCTAGTCTATAGTCTAGTCTATAGTCTAGTCTAGTCTAGTCTAGTCTAGTCTAGTCTATAGTCTAGTCTAGACTCTAGTCTATAGTCTGGGCTATAGTCTAGTCTATAGTCTAGTCTATAGTCTGGTCTATAGTCTAGTCTATAGTCTAGTCTATAGTCTAAATTGTCCATGCCTGTGCTCTAGAGTTTTCATTTCCATCTTAAATTATTGACATTTAATTAAAACTAATTTATTTCAACAGATCTGATGTCACTTTTATTTATAAACTCTTTCTCAAAAACAAATGACAGTTTTATGTCTTCGACAGAAAACTGTTGTTTATTAAGCTCACATGTAGATAAAATAATTATATAATAAAAATGTTTTATTATAGATCACAAATATACATAACAAAACATCTTAACCACGCGCAACTACCCCCTCATCTATCTTTAGTAAAAACCCGCTGAAAACCGCTTAATTGTGGCAAAGTGTCTCAGTGAAATAACTTAACGATCATCATTTCCCTGCCTATTTCTTTTACAGCATAATCAGCGTTGTGTTTGTTTTTATTACTTTTAAAAGTTTCTTCTTAGATTTTATTACTTTTAAGAGTAAATTAAGCCATTATTTAAGTATTTTGTTTGTAGTTTAATCTACCTCCTTGCGTCTGTCTTTCCCTCTAAGTCTTGTTACAATTGTTTGTGTTTTTTTTTTCATTTTTCTTTTGAACTGGTTTTCGTGTGTTTGTTAATAAACATAATTTTCTGTTTCTGCAATTGTCATGGTTAATGAAGAGTTTAAAATTTTCTAGATAAAAAGATCTTTTAAACTTGATAATAATGTTGCCGCAGATACATATTACACTTGAAATCTAAAGACAAATGTTTTTCGTTTATTATTTAATAGTTTTGTGTGTTTAGTTTTTTTTTCTAGGAATTTTAAAAAATTTCCAGAAATGTTATATAAACTAAATGTTTAGCTACTGGTTTTTTGGTAAAAATAAACAACAACATAAAGTTGTAATAAGACTTGACCAAATTGTTACAAAAACCATACTAATTTTTACTTATAAGAGCTGTATAAAACAAGTTTTTAAAGAAAAAGTAATAAGTAATGCTTTTTAGAACTATTTAAAAAAAGTTTATTAAAGCTTTTCAAAGTTTTTTTTTAACAGAAAAGCTCATTAGACTGTAAGAGCTTTTTAGCAAAAAAGTTTTTAAAGCTTTTTTGACAAAACCCTTTTAAAATGTTTAAACTTTTTTAATAAAAAAACTTTTTTAAGTTTTTTAATAAAAAGCTTTAATATAAAGCTTTTTACAGGTTTTTTAATAAAAATGTTTTTAAACCTTTTCTGATAAAAATTTTAGAAAAGTTTTTTCAGTTTTTTTATTAAAAGCTTTTAAAAATTTCATCAATAAAATATCTTTTTAAAGCTTTAAAATTTGTTGATGTTTTTTTATTATAATTTTTTTTTGTTTTAAGTTGTCTTAAAAGCTTTTTAAAGTTTTATTTTCTTAAATTGTTAAAGCTTATTTTAAGCTTTTTTAATAAAAATAATGGTTAATAAACAAGTAAACAGCTTTAATAAAAATCTTTTTAATAAGAATCATTGTTTAAAAAAGCGTTTCAAGTGAAAAAAATTAAATTATTCTTAAAGAAGCTTTTTAAAAGTTTAACAGATTTTTTCATAAAAAGCTTTGTACAGCTTTTTAATAAAAAGCTTTGTAGAGCATTTTAAATTAAAAGTTTTGTAGAGCTTATTTATAGAAAGCTCTGTACAGCTTTTTATTAAAAAGCTTTTTAGAGCTTTTTAAATAACAAGCTTTGTGGAGCTTTTTAATTAAAAAGCTTCGTAGAGCTTTTGCACTTAATTCTTTATATAACAGTTTAATAAAAATCTTTTGAAGATCTTACTGATACAATTTTTGCAGAGCTTTTTTAATAACAATCTTTGTAGAGCTTCTCAAATAAAATCTTCGCAGAGCTTTTTTTAATAAAAGTCTTTGTAGAGCTTTTTTTCATAAAAACATTATTTTTGTAGAGCTTTTTGTATACAATGCTTTATACAACATTTTGATTAAAAAAGCTTGTAGAGTTTTCTAACAAAAAAAATTCAGTTTTAGAGCTTTTTATCAAAAAATTTTGTCGAAGCTTTTATAATAAAAATCTTTGTGGAGCTTTTTTAATATAATGCTTTGTATAAAAGTAAAAAAAAACCTAAAAGAGCTTTTTGTATTAAAAGTTTATTAGAGTGTCTTCTTTTAAAAGCTCTTGAGAGCTTTTTTTATAAGCTTTTCTCATTTTGTGTTTAAGTCATTGAAGAGTATTTTTTAAAAAATGCTTTTGAGAGCTTTCTCTTTTAAAAGCTTTTTTTATTTAAAAACTTATTAAAGATTTTTCATATTAAAAGATTTTTTGTTAATATTCTATTAAAGCTTTTCTTATTACAAAACACCATTACAGATATTTCCTATAAAAATCATTGTAGAGCTTTTTGTAATAAAAGCTTTTGAGAACATTCTCCTTTTTTCCGCAGCTTTTCGTATTAGAAAAATTATTAATAATGTATAATACTAAAACTTTTCAGAGCTTTTGTATGAAAAGCTTTTCGAATCATCTTCTATTAAAGATTTTTGGGAGCTTTCTCTTTTATAAGTTATTTTTCATTTAAAAAAATATTAGTAAAGATTTTTTCTATTAAAATGATTATTGAACTTTATGTAATAAAAGCTTTTTAGGTCGGCCTTTGAAAGCTTTCTTTTTTTATTAGTTCTCAAAATTGTTTAAATTTATTGTTAATTTTTGTATTATTCTCTCTCTTTCAGGTGACATTCTTTCCGGAGTGTGTTTTGTGGGTCAATTAGACACCCATTCCCTGGGTGTTTTTCTCATCATACCTTTGTGTATATATCTGTCAATTGGAGCTCTCTTCCTTTTAGCTGGTTTCGTCTCACTCTTTCGCATACGCACCGTCATGAAGACCGATGGCAAACGTACTGATAAATTAGAACGCTTAATGATGCGTATAGGTTTCTTTTCGGGTCTCTTCATCTTACCCGCTCTAGGCTATTTGGGATGCTTATTCTATGAATACTATAACTTCGATGAATGGATGATACAATGGCATCGCGATATCTGTAAACCTTTCTCAATACCTTGCCCCCTGCCACGACCAGATGGTTCTGAGTCAAGGCCTATTTTCCAGATTTATATGGTCAAATATTTGTGTTCAATGCTAGTGGGTGTTACCTCAAGTGTGTGGCTGTATTCGAGTAAGACGGTGGTGAGTTGGCGTAACTTTGTGGAGAGACTGCAGGGTAAAGAGACGAGAACTCGAGGGCAGGCATATGTGTAAGTTAGTTTTAAGCTGCAGCAAATTTGAAAAGAAATTTTAAAAATTATAAATGTGAAAGTATGACAAGAACAAAAGAAAAACTATTAAAAATAAGTTAAGTGATGTGTTTATAATAATTGTATAAAAAAAATAATTGACAAAAATTATAAAATTAAAATAACAAAATGTGACCACAAAGCAATTGAGTGCTCAAAATATTATTTTTTTTTCGTTAAAAGTTAAAAAATAAAATGATCTAGTAATAATATAGGTTTAAAGTGTATAAACTTTAAACAAACACTCTTAAGCTTTGAGTGGAAAACAACCAAAATTTAGTATTCAAAAAAGGGTGTTAGATTATCATTAGTAAAAGGTTTTGAAAATTGACAAAATATTACTGAGATACTCCACCTTTTGCCAAACCCTTTTATTATTTTGTAATATTATTTAACTATAATTTTAAGTTAAACAAAATATATTTGCTTAATTGTTTTTAAATTTATTTTATTTTTTAAATTTATCATCATGAGTAAAAAAGCTTTACATGTGCCCTACATTATAAGTTGAATACAAATAGTTTTAAAACAAACATAAACTAAAACTCTCATTACATTTTAAAGAAATTTTCTTTTCAAGAAAATCTTGCTTTTCTTTTTAATTTTTTAATTTAAGTTCAATTTTTTCTTTTGTTTCCATTTTTAAAGTCTGTAACACCAAGTCCTTCCTCCATGTGCTAAAAAAAATTAACTAAAATAAACAATAATAATACAAAAAATCGTTAAAACTTTAATTTCATTTAATTTTTAAGTAATTTTAGTATCAACAAAAAAAACCAACAAACATCTATTTTAATTTGTTAAGCTTTAGTTTTTAAGAAATTGTTAAGAAAACTAAATTTTGTATAAATAATAATTTTTATTTAAATTATATTTACTATAAAAAAAGAGAAAAGGATTTTAAAAGTGAACAATAGAAGCAAAAAGCACAAATTATGTAAAAAATCTAATTCTGTACTAATTCTGTTCTAGTTCAGTTCTAGTTCAGTTTTAGTTCTGTTCTAGTTCTGTTCCAGTTCTGTTCTAGTTCTGTTCTAGTTCTGTTCTAGTTCTGTTCTAGTTCTGTTCTAGTTATGTTCTAGTTCTGTTCTAGTTCTGTTCTAGTTCTGTTCTAGTTCAGTTCTAGTTCAGTTCTAGTTCAGTTCAGTTCTAGTTCAGTTCTAGTTCAGTTCTACTTCTGTCTAGTTCTGTTCTAGTTCATGTTCTAGTTCAGTTCTAGTTCAGTTCTAGTTCAGTTCTAGTCAGTTCTAGTTCAGTTCTAGTTCAGTTCTAGTTCAGTTCTAGTTCAGTTCTAGTTCAGTTCTAGTTCAGTTCTAGTTTCAGTTCTAGTTCTGTTCTAGTTCTGTTCTAGTTCTGTTCTAGTTCTAGTTCTGTTCTAGTTCTGTTTCTAGTTCTGTTCTAGTTCTGTTCTAGTTCTGTTCTAGTTCTGTTCTAGTTCTGTTCTAGTTCTGTTCTAGTTCTGTTCTAGTTCTGTTCTAGTTCTGTTCTAGTTCTGTTCTAGTTCTGTTCTAGTTCTGTTCTAGTTCTGTTTCTAGTTCTGTTCTAGTTCTGTTCTAGTTCTAGTTCTGTTCTAGTTCTGTTCTAGTTCTGTTCTAGTTCTGTTCTAGTTCTAGTTCTGTTCTAGTTCCTGTTCTAGTTCTGTTCTAGTTCTGTCTAGTGTCTGTTCAGTTCTGTTCTGTTCTAGTTCTGTTCTAGTTCTGTTCTAGTTCTGTTCTAGTTCTGTTCTAGTTCTGTTCAAGTTCTGTTCTAGTTCTGTTCTAGTTCTGTTCTAATTCTGTTCTAGTTCTGTTCTAGTTCTGTTCTAGTTCTGTTCTAGTTCTGTTCTAGTTCTGTTCTAGTTCTGTTCTAGTTCTGTTCTAGTTCTGTTCTAGTTCTGTTCTAGTTCTGTTCTAGTTCTGTTCTAGTTCTGTTCTAGTTCTGTTCTAGTTCTGTTCTAGTTCTGTTCTAGTTCTGTTCTAGTTCTGTACTAGTTCTGTTCTAGTTCTGTTCTAGTTCTGTTCCAGTTCTGTACTAGTTCTGTTCTAGTTCTGTTCTAGTTCTGTTCTAGTTCTGTTCTAGTTGAGTTCTAATTCAGTTCTAGTTCACTTTGGGACCAGTTCTTTATTTTTTTTTTTCATTGCTTTTGTTTTCAGTTTGTTCCTTTGAGTCCTTTTTTCATTTTACTACAAATATCCTTAATTGATTTTATGACGTTATAGTCATTTTATTATAAATATTTTTTTAAGTCTCTAATAAATAAGTTTCTAATAAAAAACAAAATAATTATAAATAATTATGTAAATTTATCCACTAAAACTTAAAACATAAAACTATTTTATATTAAGAACAAAAAAATTATTTTTATTTAAAAAAACTCTAACAATAAATTGTTTAAAAATTAAAGAAAATACTGCCATTTAAAAACAAAATAAAAACTAAAATATTTAATTTCCTTAAGAAATAAAACAAAAAAAGTATTTAATATAAAAAAAAATAATGTAAAATAGAAAAAACAACAACAACTCTTTAACATTTAAGGCATGTTTCATTGAAAATACTAAAAAAACGTAAATGAAAAAAAGAATAAATAAATAAAAAAAAACTTTTATTGTTAAAGACTGAAAAAAATTAACAAAAAAAAATGCCGCTGTTGTATTATTTTACAAATAAGACAAAAAAAGGAGGTAAAACAAACACTTTAATATATTTTTAAATTTTTGCTCAAAAATATTTTAGATCATATTTCCTAAGTAATTAAACTGCTCTCGGTAGCAACAATAGTAGCAAAAACGTTTTGGCATTACTTACAAATTGTTTAACAAATTTGTTTAACATTAATCCCGCTTTATTGTAATAAAAAACTAAAGTGAACAAAAATCTACACAATAAAAATTACAATAGCTTAAAAAACACTTCAACTAGACACACAACACCAGCAGCTTACATATAAAAAAGTTGTAAAAAAACACACTTTAAAATGGTGTAAAAGCTTTAGGAAATACAATATAAAATATAGGAAAAAAATTGACGTTGTAGAGTTTTAAAAAGCCAACAAGAGGATTAGTTTTATATACAGCCAAAAAAGGCAAACCAGGCTAAGAAGAATACAATATTTAGAGGACCAACTAAGTTAAAATTACCCCTAAACTAAGAAAACTTGTAAAAAGACTGTAAATTAAAAAGTAGGCCTGGCAACAAGCATTAATATGTGGTTGCATCTGCAAGTCCTATTCCCATACTATACAAAGCAAAAAAAATCTCGCCAATATCTCTTAAAATAAGCAAGTTATAGTGAAATAACCAAAATAGTTATTCCGCTCAATTTATGTTTCTGTATCCTTTTTAACTCAAGTTTCGTCCTTGCATAAATTTCTTAAAACACAACTAAATCAAATGAAATTAAGCAGGATAGTAGAGCAAGATCTGGACTTTCTAATACTGAAGAAATGTTTTTGTTAACTTTAATAGTTTTTTCAATATAAACATTTTAAACATTAAAGGCTCTAAATCCAAAAGTAGGCGTGGCAGTGGGCGTTAAAATTTGATGTTATCGAAAAGCCCAAATTCCAATCTATCCATACCAAAAGAAATCTCCTCGATATCTCTTAAAACCACTGAGTTATTCACAAAAATGTAAAAGTGTTATTAGGAAAAACACCTCCTACTCGATTCTGTTGACCTGGTGTTTCATTGAAATTTTTGGCAAATTTTGTTTTGTCAATTTTTGGGGTTTCACAAAGCAAAGTTTAAAAGCTCATAATTGCGGCATATGACAAACAATTGTAATGAAATTTTATACCGAGATTCCTTTGGAATAGGACTTTGTGCTAGTGTGATAAATTTTTTTGCCCCGCCCCTTTCTCTGCAAGAAATTTCAGTTTTAAAAGGAACATATTCATTTGCCTAGAACTATGTAATGAGCAACACTTTTTTAAAGAATTATATGCCCTAGTAAAGCTCATATCATCCGCTTTCAAACTCAAAATAAATCTTGCCAATATCTCTTAAACCAAGCGAGTTATACTTAAATTACCAAAATGTTTATTCCGCCCACTTTTCATTTGTCTGACACTTTCAATATAAACTTCAACATTGAATAACTACTTTAATAGACAATCAATTTAAATGAAATTTGGCACAATTATAGGGTGAGAACTGGACTTTCTTACAGTAAAGTAATATTTGAGAAAACTTCTTTAGTTTCAACAATATAAACATTTTAGCAATAAAGACTGCAATGTTAAAAGTGGGCGTGGCAGTGGCTATAATTTGGTCTTGTCGAAAAGTGCTATTGTCATTCTATCTACAACAAAAAGAATCATCCAATTATCTTTAAAACTAAGCAAGCTACATAGAAATAACTAAGATAGTTATTTCGCCCACATTGTATTTTAGTGTCCTTTCTAACGAAAATTTCTTTCTTGCATAAATTTCTTAAAACACAATTAAATAAAATGAAATTAAGCAGGCTAGTAGAGCAAGATCTGGACTTTCTAATACTGAAGAAATATTTTTGTTAACTTTAATAGTTTTTTCAATATAAAGATTTTAAACATTAAAGGCTCTAAATCCAAAAGTAGGCGTGGCAATGGGCGTAAAAATTTAGTGTCAACGAAAAGCCCAAATTCCAATCTCTCCATATCAAAAGAAATCTCCTCGATATCTCTTAAAAGCAATGAGTTATTCACAAAAATGTAAAAGTGTTATTAGGAAAAACACCTCCTACTTGATTCTGTTGACCTGGTGTTTCATTGAAATTTTTGGCAAATTTTGTTTTGCCAATTTTTGGGGTTTCACAAAGCAAAGTTTAAAAGCTTATAATTGCGGCATATGACAAACAATTGTAATGAAATTTCATACCGAGATTCGTTTGGAATAGGACTTTGTGCTAGTGTGATAAATTTTTTGCCACGCCCCTTTCTCTGCAAGAAATTTCAGTTTTAAAAGGAACATATTCATTTACCTAGAACTATGTAATGAGCAAAACTTTTTTTAAGAAATATATGCCTTAGTAAAGCTCATATCTTCCGCTTTCAGACACAAGAAAAACCATGCCAATATCTCTTAAACCAAGCGAGTTATACTTAAATTAATAAAATGTTTATTCCGCCCACTTTTCATTTATTTATCATATTAAACATAAACTTCATCATTGAATAACTTCCTTACTAAACAATCAATTTAAATGAAATTGGGCATGATTATATGGCGTGAGCTGGACTTTCATATAAAGAAGTAATATTTGAGAAATTTTGTTCAGTTTCATCAATAAACATGTTTTAACAATAAAGGCTGTATATCTAAAAGTGGACGTGGCAGTAGTTATAATTTAGTCTTGACGGAAAGTGCTATTGCCATTCTATCCATAGCAAAAAGAATCATTCAATTATCTTTGAAACAAAGCGAGTTGCATTGAAATAACTAAGATAGTTACAACGCCCGCACTGTATTTCAGTGTCCTTTCTAACGCAAATTTCATCCTAGCATAACTTTCTTAAAACACTATTAAATCAAATGAAATTAATCAGGATAGTAGAGCAGGATCTGGACTTTCTAATAGTGAAGAAA